TTATGGGATGAATGTGGGAAAAAAGTAAAAAAAAAAAAAAAAAAGTATCTGCTGGTTGATACCCTGTATTTGGGTTAAATTAATTAAATTAATAAAGTCATATTATCTGAAAGTAAGTTTTATCATTTCACTCCCTATTGCTAACTACTTAATCTCCTTTTACTTGCTAAGAGAAGATTTTTTAAATATCTTCTGACTATAAAAGCTACAGATCTAGTTTTCAAAAGTACCTCAAATTTCATATATTTGAGAGGCAAAACATTCACACATACGTAGGGAGAATGTAAATATTAGTACAATAAAACACTCAATAAGTGTTTGTTGTACACAAATTGGTTCTAGATTCTGGAGCACTAAGATTGATTTTACAGTGTTACTGAATACAGATTTTTATGAAAAGACTTTGGCTTTCAGACCACTTAATTCAAAATGCTTGTGTCTTAAAATACAATTAGCTTCTGAACTATGCCAAAGCAGAAAGACCAGATGATGAAGTCATTATGGCACCTTCTTTTGTTGGAATTTATATCCTGCTACAGTTGTGTAAGGATCTCAGGTTACTAGCAGTGTCTGAAAAGTGTCTTACTGCTTTTAAGCATATCATTATTTTTCAGATCAAATTATATTACATGGTGGTTGACAGGAAATGAATTTAGCATTTGAAAGTACAATATTACAAAGTCTTCTGTGAAGGATTTCATGTCCTTTAGAAGGTGTGTCTCCATGTGCACAGTGATCCAAATATAACACCTGATGTCTGTGCTTTAACTGAGATATACTGTATTTGAAACTCTGGCCAGTCATTTCTTCCATGTGAATCCATTGTGGCGATGGGGTTTTCTTATATTACAGAATTTTTTGCCCTGTATCTAAGGCAATGTCAAGGATAACATTGTGCCTCAACTAATAACAGTAATAAAAATAATGTGTATTGTTGAGTTCTGACCTAAGGTTTAGAAATATTAAGTGACTTACCCAAGATAACATAGCTACAAAGTGATAGAGCCAGCAGTTGAGTCCAGACCATTTTGAATCAAAAGCCCATGCTCCTAATCACAGTGAATTGTAATTTGTCATCACAAGTTCCTCTGAGGATCTAATGGATGATAAGAACACTCTCTAGACCTTAAGTCATTTCCCTGCTCATTAGCAGTATTTCTAGAAAATGCATTATTACTGACTCATGATTTGAGTTAAGATGTTACTATCTAAAGGAATTCTTTCTTCAAAAGAATTTTGAACAAAATATTTGAACAAAAATACTTTGTTTCACCCTAAAGTAAGTAAAGTAAGTTGTCATGTCATTAACATTTTAGTGTGAAATAGTTAAGCCTATGCCTTACATATTTTACTAGAATTTATTGGGCATTCACTGTGTGGTAGTCTCTCTAGACATGTATACAGTATTGAGGGAAGAATAATCAGATAACAATAACAACAAATAGAATGCATTTATTGAGTACATATTATATGCCAAGTAATTTACACAATTTTCATATATTTTTTTCACTTAAGCCTTTGAGAATCTATGTGAGTTAGATACTGCTAATCAATAAATGAGGAAATTGAGCATCAGAAAGATTTACAAACTTCTCTGAGGTTACAAAAATAAGCTATTGTGGGGACTGAATTTTATTCTAAAGCTCATGGCCTTATTTTCTAAACTAGGGCTAAGGATCTCCATTATTGTTATTTCTTTTTGCTCTGACTGAGTTTCTGTATGTGAACAATGCAGTGATTTACGCTGGTGTTAATTCAGCAGATTTGTCCAGCTTTTCATGGAGCAACTGTATGCATTCTTCTCATTTTCTTGTCTTCAAGTTTATTGAAAATGATATGGCAAAATTATATAGGTAATTACTGCTGCTTATCTTAATCCTAAAAGAGATGTGATGAGTAAAGACATAAATCTGTCCAGTTTATCCATCTTTAATAAAAGGGATTTTAGGGAGACCACCAAGCATGCAAAATAAATGAATATTCTTCACATTCCTGAAATCAAGTCTCTTGTGTATCAGTTGCATTGCACTAAAATTGGTTTTATTCATTTAATGAATTAATTATTGAAATTTCCTAGGCAAATAAATCTGCATCAACTTTTCTCAAAGACTATTGTTTGGGTGAACATATTGAGCATAGCTTAAGTAATTTCATCCTCTCATTTATTTAATACATTACAGATGGATATCTGTTTAAGTCATAATGGGTCATTTCTGCCAACAGCCAAGCCCTTTAGAATTTATCAGGGAAAAATACATGAATGCTTCATGTAGCAATAATTTAGAGTGACAGCTTCCTCTTTTTAATTATTTATTTATTTATTTTTATTTATTTATTTTTTGAGCTTCCTCTTTTTAACTCTGGAAAGCAGTTCTGTCAGCAGTATGAACTTTGCTCTGAGGAAGTAAATTGGTTTAAGCATGATAGAAACCCAACTATCCAATCCTTATTATCTCTCAATCCTGATGCAACATGCCACATGACAGAGTATAAGTATTGAGTAATTGTAGTCTTTAGCATATTTCAGCAATCTTTTTGACTATTCATTTACAACTAGATGCACATGTATTTTTCTTTTCTTTTTTAAATTTCTTTCAGAATATTACAGGAGTACAAAAAATTTGGTTACATAAATTCCTTTTGTACAATGCCCACCCCCTCCAGATAGTGTGCATTGTACCTGTTCAATGTGACTTTACCCATCCCTTCCTCCCCCTAACTGATTTTTTCTGATGAGTGTTATTACCGTATGTTCACATAGGTGTCCAATTAGTTCCAATTTAATGGTGCATACATGTGATATTTGTTTTTTTATTCTTGTGATATTTCACTTAGAAAAATGATCTCTAGCTCCATCCAGAATAATACAAGAGGTAATAGTTCATCATCATTTTATTGGTTGAGTAGTACTCCATGGTATACATATACCACATTTTCTTAATCTGCTCATATATTGATGGGCACTTGAGTTGTTTGCACATCTTTGCAATTGTGAATTGTGCTGCTATAAACATTTGAGTGCAGGTGTCTGTTTTTATACAATGTGTTCTTTTCCTTTGGGTAGATGCCTAGTAGTGGGATTGCTGGATCAAATGGTAGCTCCACTTTTAGTTCTTTGTGGTATCTCCATATGAATTTCCATAGCGGGTGTAGTATTTTGCAATCCCACTAGCAGTGTATGAGTGTTCTTATCTTGACACCTCCATGCAACATTTGTTATTCTGGGACTTTTTGATAAAAGATATTTTCACTGAAGTTAAGTGATATCTCATTGTGGTTTTGATTTGCATTTCCCTGATTATTAGAGATATTGAGCATTTTTTCATAAGCTTGTTGGCCATAGTCTATCTTCTTTTGAAAAGTTTCTGTCCATGTTTTTGCTCACTTTTTAATGGAGTTCTTTGATGTTTTCTTGCTGATTTGCTTGAGTTCTTCATATATTTTACTTATCATTTTATCAGATGTATAGCATGCAGATATTTTCTCCCATTCTGCAGGTTGTCAATATGCTCAATGATTGTTTCCTTAGTTGTGCAGAAGTTTTTTTTAATTTGATAAGGTCCCATTTAATTATTTTTGTTGTTGCTGTAATTATTTTTGGGGTCTTCTTCAGAGATTCTTTGCCTAGATGGATGTCTATAAAAGTTTTTGTAACACTTTTTTTCTAGAATTTGTATGGTTTCATGCCTTAAGTTTATGTCTCTTATCATCATGAGCTGATTTTTGGAGTGGTGAGAGGTGTGGATCCTATTTCATTCATCTACATGCAGATATCCAATTTTCCCAGCACCATTTATTGAATAGGGATTCCTTTCCCCAATGTATGTTTTTGTCTGTTTATCAAAGATCAGATGGCAATATGAGGATGGTTTCATAACTGGGTTCTCTGTTTTGTTCCATTTGTCTATGTCTCTTTTCTTGTGCAATTTTCATGCTATTTTCATTACTATAGCCTTGAAATATAGCCTGAAGTCTGGTAAATTGATGCCTCCCAATTGGTTTTTATTGCTTTAGCTTGTTTGCCTATGCAGGGTCTTCTGTGTTTCCATACAAAATGTAGAAATAGGGGGCGAGGGCTGCAGGCGCGGCCCGGGGCGCAGCGCGCTCAGCGCCGGGGGTGCATGGCCGGCGAGGAGCGGCACCCGCGGACGGGCCCTCTCCCGCGCCTCCGGGCCAGACTCCAGAGCTTTCTCTTGATGCAGAATAAAACACAGGCACCCTTGCAGGTTACGCTTCTTTCCCCATCTTCCGGAGTGGATGAGATCGCCTGCAGATCCCGGCGGGGCAGTCAGGTCGCCCGGGGGAGAATCAAATTTGATCCATCCATCACCATCCCATTGCAAATCTCTGCTCTAGAAACAGCTGTTGATGCTGGTGATCACATTCTCAGGCAGTCTCCCTATGTTGCCCAGGCTGGAGTGCAGTGGCTTTTCACAGGCATAATCCTAGCTCACTGCAGCCTCGAACTCCCAGGCCCAAGTGATCCTCCCACCTCAGCCTGCTGAGTAGCTGGGATCATAGGCATGCACCACCACTGACTTGAGGTTTTAAAATGATCTTGGCCGCTGCCAAGTAGCAAATGGCTTGGAAAGGTTTAGGATGACAAACCAGCAGGGAGACAGATCAGCAGAAGATGCGATGCCCCTGGGAAATCCTCACTAAGGAGGAGTTGTTCTACAGACAGAACAAATAGCCAAAGAAAGATTTATTAAAAAGCCTCATGGAACATATCACCATTGCTGAATGCCTGGCACATACAAGACACCTGACAGCAGGAGAGTTACTCCGAATGGGCACAGGATGTCACCTGGAATCCAAGCACTAAATGATCGGGACTTTCTTTAATTCTAAATGTGCTGTTCTTCATTCCAAGATGCCTTTGCACTTCTGATAAATGCAAACTGACGACCGTCCAGGCCACGGCGGAGGGAAAATCTCATTGGTCCTAGAAGCCTAGAAGACGACCCTTAGCAAAGGAAAGTCTCTGATTGTTGTTTGAAATGCTGAAGAAGCTGCCACGGAGAAGACTTTTTTCTTTTCCCACTAAATGCTGCTTGTGGTTCTTGTTTTTTCCCTAGTCACCTTCTCTGTTGTAAGGATTCATCAAAAGCCCGAATTTGTAAGCATCAGACACTTGCAGCTGGTCGGAGAGAGTCCTAGCAGTAATATTAATTGCACCAAAGTTTTACAGGGTGACGTAGATGAAATCCAAAAGGTAAAGCTTGAGATGCTCACAGTAAAATTCAGAAAGCGCACTCGGTGGACACCTCACGACTACATAAACATGACCAGCGACTGCACTTCTTTCATCAAGAGGGGCAAATATATTATGGAACCCCTTAGCAAAGAAGAGGAGCAGTTTCCAATAGCATATTCCATAGTGGTTCACCACAAAATTGAAATGCTGGACAGGCTCCTGAGGGCCATCTATATGCCTCAGAACTTCTACTGCATTCACGTGGACAGAAAATCAGAGGAGTCCTTCTTAGCCGCAGTGAAGGGCATCGCGTCCTTTTTCAGTAACGTCTTTGTGGCCAGTCAGTTGGAGAGTGTGGTTTATGTGTCATGGAGTCGCGTTCAGGCCGACCTCAACTGCATGAAGGACCTGTACGGAATGAGCGCACGCTGGAAGTACTTGATAAATCTGTGCGGCATGGATTTTCCTATTAAAACCAACCTAGAAATTGTGAGGAAGCTCAAGTCGTTCATGGGTGAAAATAACCTTGAAACCGAGAAGATGCCCTCCCATAAAGAAGAAAGGTGGAAAAAGCAGTATGCAGTTGTTAATGGGAAGCTGACCAACACGGGGACTGTCAAAATGCGTCCTCCGCTTGAAACTCCTCTTTTTTCAGGCAGTGCCTATTTTGTGGTCAGCAGGGAGTATGTGGGGTATGTGCTAGAGAATGAAAAAATCCAAAAGTTCATGCAGTGGGCGCAGGACACGTACAGCCCAGATGAGTATCTCTGGGCCACTATCCAAAGGATCCCTGAGGTCCCTGGCTCTCTCTCCCTGAGCCATAAGTACGACTTGTCTGACATGCAGGCGGTTGCCAGGTTTGTCAAGTGGCAGTACTACGAGGGTGACATGTCTAAGGGCGCTCCCTACCCACCCTGCAACGGCATCCACGTGCGCTCGGTGTGCATTTTTGGAGCCGGAGACTTGAACTGGATGCTGCCCAAGCACCACTTGTTTGCCAATAAGTTTGACGTGGACGTCGACCACTTTGCCATCCAGTGTCTGGATGAGCATCTGAGGCGTAAAGCTTTGGAGACATTAAGACACTGACCCCTGTGGGCAATTTTAGGATTAATAAGAGAGAGGCTCAAAATGTGCCCCATGTGGTTCCTCTTACTTGACAATAAGCATCAGAAAAATTATATGGGGTCCTCTTTGGGGGGTAGGAGCCTTAAGTCTTTATATCAGAGAAGCCCCATGGTTTTGTTTTTTTTTTTTTGTTTTTTGAGACAGAGTCTTGCTTTGTTGCCCAGGCTAGAGTGAGTGCCGTGGCGTCAGCCTAGCTCACAGCAACCTCAGTCTCCTGGGCTCAAGCAATCCTGCTGCCTCAGCCTCCCGAGTAGCTGGGACTACAGGCATGCGCCACCATGCCCGGCTAATTTTTTGAATATATATTAGTTAGCCAATTAATTTCTTTCTATTTATAGTAGAGATGGGGGTCTCGCTCTTGCTCAGGCTGGTTTCGAACTCCTGACCTTGAGCAATCCGCCCGCCTCGGCCTCCCAGAGTGCTAAGATTACAGGCGTGAGCCATCGCACCCGGCCAAGCCACATGGTTTTTGCAGAGCACAATTGGTTAGAAAGGTTATGGCATTACATGCTGCCCTGGGGTTAATGTGAAGGGGAGAGAGTAGCTGTAAGGCCGGGACAGGGAGCAAGGCACTCTGGAGAGGGAGGCTGGAAGGAGGAAGAAAGAGGCCAATGCAAAAAAAAAAAAAAAATCAGCCTGTTAAAGGAGCTCAGAGACTTAACAAAATGAGATTTGACCTGTGCCAAAATAATTTTGAGAATTTTAAATATGACCGTTTTCCTGGTACGAATAACTTTATAGCAACAAACAATCATAAAGATAGTTTAGCTTGTATGTTATAGGAGCTATTGAAATAGAAATTGGATTTTACTTTAAATGATCCTTGTACGTTATTTTCTGCTGTAACATTGTGCTGTGTGTAGTGTATCTCTGTGTCATCTCAGGGAGCTTACAATGGGCTTGATTTCACTTTAATATTTTTGTGTTACTTTTGCTTGTAACTGCACATGTGTTTTCAAAAGCCAAAAAATGACGATTTCTAGTTTAGTTAATTTTTATGAATCATCTTAGGTTATTAAAAAGGTAAGGTATCTTTTTCTATGAAGAATCAAATTGCTCACAGGGATAGCCTTTTCAATTCTGGTTTCTACAAAGAGTAACACTCAATTTTTTCAAAGATTTGTCTTTATACTCTTCCCCCAGTCTCCCCAGACCCTGCTATTAAGCTGTGCAATAATTTACTTTCACAGGACCCCGTATTACTGTCACGCTCTCTGTCGTGACTTGATCGCCAATAATTAGTGCAGGGAACTAAGAAAGGGTGAGTACATTTGGGGGGTGGTGATGGGGGAAGGAATCTATTTTGATAATTTCTGAGGCCCATGATGAGTTTGAAAAACCAGCAGTTGGCACTATCCCCAGAAATGAATGCTGTTGCTCATTGGACCCACTTGTGCCCAACCTTCCAGTTCCTAATGTCACATTATATCCTAATGTCACCTGTGCCTTCATTTGAAAGGCCCTGTCCCTGTCCTTTGGACTTCATGTTATCTGCCCATTGGCTGTTAAGTTTCCTCTTTGCTCATAACCTTCTGTGAGGAGGAAAGAAGTGTGCTATTGCCACCCATGGTGTATTGGAAGACACTTGGGAGGATTGGAAGGCCTGGGAAGGGGGCTTTAGGTTTGGGACAGATTGCTTCAGTATTGGTATTATTCACAGCATATGGTTTTTGCTCTATTTTCACCAAAAGATAGATCGATGATTTGGGGTTGCTATAGTGCTATCTCTCATATCTCCAAGTAAATGAAAATTTGAAAAGAAAAAAAAAAAATTCTTGTCATTTTGCTAAGTTGCTACTGTTCAACCAAAGATATAACACGAGCTGTGAAGCTTTGTCATTTAGTATTAGACTTTAAACAAGAACCAAAAGCATATGCTTTATTTTTAAAACATAGCAACTTAAATGCCACATGAGAAATTCAGAATATCAGATGGTTTTAAGGCATTCAACTGAAGACACATTTTTTTTTATTCCTCAAAGTTAGAAAACATTTTCATTTTTACTGAGAGGTGTGTTTTTAAACCTATACCATCATTTGTAAATATGGAAGTCAGTGGATTGCTGTGTTTTTGCATGATTAGCATGGCAGTCAGTGTTGGACCAAGAGGTGCATGTTTGATTTGAAAACTCAAGACATGATGTTGATGAAGGTGGTACGTGCAATGTGTTCTCTCTTTATTGGCCTGTAAACCTGTTTTTTCCTTTAATGTGTATCAAATATTTCTTCCATGCTCCTTTTAGCAGAAAGGTTTTTACCTATAAGATAGGGCACTTTTTTTTTCTCTAAAATAAGTGATACTCAGTGACATATACCTTATGTGTATGCCTTACAGAAATTTTTCCACTTTTTATTTTGAAAAATTGCGAATCTGTAGGAAAGTTAATAGTACAGTGATCACCATATAACCCTCACTCGGATTACCAGTTGTTAACATAGTGCCCTATTTGCTTTAAGTTGTATGTGTTTTTGAATTTAGCAAAAATGGAAATTAAAAATTTTTTTAATTACAAATATACAAAGTTATTCATCTCAACACATTTATTATAGTGTAACTGCATCTGATTTATACTTAAATTGGCAGGGTTTGAGGGTTATTTTTTCCTTTTTTTACCATGGATTTAAAAATAGGATTTCCCCAAGCCTCACCTTAAAACTGTGAACCCACCATCTTCTGTGTAGCTGTGATATCTCATCTTTCTAGAATGGCACTTGTTGAAATGTGTTCAAACACTACCTGGTCCCTAATACCTGCCACAGAGATTATGTAGGGTTCGTTCATTGGGACTCGAAGTATCTTATTTTTAAACTCTTTCGCATAACTTAAAGCAAATGAAATTTAAACTACTGTAATAAGAAATTTAAAGAATCAAAAAGATTGGAGAGGAACCCAGTGATGGTTCCCAAGTTTTTTGGGAGAAATGTAGAAAGTATTTAAATTACTTCATATGTTAGTAAACACTAATTTCTTTGTACTGTCATTTAAGGTCTTCTATAGGGAATTTTTAGAAATCCCATTCACAAATGAGAAGTTCTTAAACATATGTAAACATATGGAAAGTTTGATGGAAAGATTCTAGTTCATGACTACTACATCTAGATTTACATATTTCTTATTAAGGACAAGAGTATGACAATGATCGTTCTTTATTTTACAGGCAATTACCTATGCTCTTCCCAGATCACAGTAAATAGCTGCTCATCCTTGAAAATGTGGAACATTATCGTTTCTAAACATGTATTTGTCTCATTCGTCAAGGACAATTCACCTAAGTCGATTTCCTCTTATAGTTTGGGTGGAAAGAAGCCATGTTTTAGTTTCTGTAGGGTCAATTAAACTGGACTTTTTCGATTGTTTACAAAAATAAAAATCATTTATCATGTTAAATACAGATGTCCCTCAACTTACAATTACTTATGATGCAATTACGTCCCCAAAATGGATTTAACACACCTAATGTACCAAACATCGTACTTTAGCATAGCCTGTAACATGCTCAGAACGCTTACATTACATTTGGGCCAAATCACCTAACACAAAGCCTGTTTTATAATAACGTGTTGAATATCTCATGTAATGTGTTGAATCTGACCTGAAAGTGAAAACAGAATGGTTGTATGGGTACTTGAAATACGGTTCCTACTAAATGCATATTGTTTTCACATCATCTTCATGTCAAAAAATGTTGTCAAACCATCCTAAGTCAGGGACTGTCTATATAAAATAAATGCAACACTATTTCATGGTAAAAAAAAAAAAATGTAGAAATATTCTTCATAGGTGTGTGAAAAATAATGTTAGTATTTTCATAGGGATTTCACTGAATCTGTGTATCACCTTAGGTAACATATATATTTTAAACAATGTTGATTCTACCGATTCATGAGCAAGGTGTGATTTTCAATCTATTTACTTCCTCTGATATTTCCTTCCTCAGTATTTTGAAATTCTTCCTGTAGAGGTCTTTCACCTCCTAAGTTAAATATATTCCCAGGTATTTTATATACTTTGTTATTATTTTGATGGTACTGAGTCTTTGATTTGGTTCTCTGGTTCACTTTTGTTGGTATATATGAATGCTACTTATTTATGTACATTTATTTTGTAACCTGAGATGTTAATGAAATTGTTTATGAATTCCAGGGGTCTCTTAACAGAATCTTTGGTGTTTTCCAGATATAAGAGCATATAATGAGCAAAAAGTGATAGTTTGACCTCCTCTGTCCCTATTTGGATACCCTGGATTTCTGTCTTTTATCTAATTGCTCTGGCTAGTTTCTAGTTGTTTTTTGTTTGTTTGTTTGTTTGTTTGTTTTTTCAGCACTATGTTGAATAGAAGTGTGGGTAGTGGGCAACATTGTCTGGTCCCAGTTCTAAGTTGAAATGCTTTCATTTTTTTTCCAGTTCAGTATGATTTTGGCTGTGGCTTTGTCATGCATGGCTTTTATAGCTTTGAGGTAAGTCCCATCTATACCTCTTCTGTTAAGCATTCTTATCATGAAAGGGTGTTGAATTCTTTCAAATGTTTTTTCTGCTTCTATTGAGAGGATCATATGATCTTTGTTTTTCCTTCCATTTATGTTGCAAATTACATTTATTGATTTGTGTATGTTGAACCATCCCTACATGTCTGGGAAGAAGCCCAGTTGATCTTCTTGGATTATTTTTGATGAGCAACTGAATTTGATTTTCTTAGATTTTAATGAGAAATTTTGTACCTATATTCATAAGGGATATTGGTCTGTTGCTTTCTTTTTTTCTGAGTCCTTTATTAGCTTTTGTATCAAAGTGATGCTGGCTTTGAAAAATGTGTTGGGGAGGATTCCTTCCTTCCATATGTTATGGAATAGTTTCTGCAAGATTTGTACCAGTTCTAATTTGTAGGTCTGGTAAAATTCATATGTGAAATCATCTGGTCCAGGACTTTTTTGTTGGTAGATATTTTACTATTACTTCAATTTTGTTCTTGATATTGGTCTTCTCAGGAATTATATATCTTCATGATTGAGGCTGGGATAGTTGTGTGTTTCTATGAATTTTTCCATTTCATCCATATTTTCAAGTTGATGTGC